CTTCTTATTCCTGGACTCTTGTCTCCCATCGTTAACACATGCTTTAGCTTGACCCCGATTAACAAATCACTCTTTACCACCCAAGTGAAGATGGTTTGTTCATAACATAATTTCCCCACGTCTACCCCCACTTAAAAAAATAGCGGCTGATAAGCTCTTGTTTGCTAAGTTGCCATTGGTCACTCTTTTTTATTAGCAATTTGACGCGTTTGGCAGCTGTCGTCTGCATGAAAGTGAGATTCGAGGCCAAGGTAACCAGAGGTTTTTCTCTCTCTCCTCGTCGCTTACGCGACTCGTTGTCGCCGCTTCGCGGCTTGCTGTTGATCTCTTTCGCGAAGAAAAATCAAGAAACACCTCTGGGACCAGGGTATTGAAAACAGTGAGCATGTTTAACTCGCTAACACAAGACGAGGTGTTTTGGCTGTATCTCTGGACTTTGCTGGCTTTATCTAGCTAGCATTTTCCCAGTGAAAACACAACCGCAGAGTTTAATGGATAATGTAATTTTGTCATGTTTTAATTATGGAAGTTTGGCCGCTGAACACAATATGCATTGAATACAAAAATTATCGTTACAGAAGAATAAACAGACTACCATAAAGGGTGAGGAGTTTTGAGCTGTTCAGTAAGCTCGCTGTTCAAGTTTCAAATTAAAGAAGATGGCTTGACTTTCTGCGTTTAAGCCTGAGAAAGCACTCTTCGTGATCTAAACTATAACTATTTAACAAAAATTATAAGTCAAAACTAGCTTCACTTAGGTTTGTTTTGCAACTTAGTTGTTGTGGTTCTCCCTGTCAACATGCATGGTAATAATGTAAGTGGCCCTCCAGATTGAGGGGTTAGGCAATTCAGGTGTCTTGTCTTTCACCTGAAACCTGCCCAGCACGGTTGAACCCAGCAGGGACTGTGGTCCCAACTGGTATAGCCTCGAGGATCACGAAGGCAACCAAACCTTCCCTCCACTTAAAAGGCATAACGCTTGGGGAGGTGGAAACAAAGTACAGAATAGTCTAAACAAAGCACAATTCTACATTATTAAATTATTTAGCGTAATGGCTCGATTTAGCGCCCGGAGCGCTTATATACGAATGGTTTGTCAAATGAGGGCGCTTATTAGAGACAGGGCGTTTACCTCTTTTAGACTGCGAAACAAACCTCTAAAACCATAAAACAGGAGCAGGGCACCTTATAGGCAAGAATTAGCAAACGTGTACGATCATGGCTCGTTCTGAAAATCCCTTGATTTGGAGTTCGAAGCTTGTTTATAAAGGCGAATTTTCGTCTGCTATACGAGGTCATCATGGCCACAAAGCGACATGGTCTCCAACTAAAGGAGAGTCTCTGGCAGTAGGAAAGGGAAAGAAGCCAAACAAAACGTTGAATTCATAGTTGGGACTCATCTTCAAGCTTACAAAAGATATTTTCCCATGGAACTTTCCTTCCTGATATTCCTTTCCTTCCTTTCCTTCCTTATATTCCTTTATATTTAAATTATTTATTACCTTAGTATTTTAGTATTTAAGGATTTTAGTCTTTCAGTTGTTTCATAGGGCCATAAAGGTTGATTTCCACTGACGCGTTTTTGGCTGCGCTCGTTAACGTACGTAAATTTTAATCACGTGCTAGATATAAAGTGTTGCGATAAAACGTGAAGTTAAGCGAGGTTCTATTTTTACGCTTACCTGCAACCTTTCGCACATTGCCTCTATTTTATTGCGAACGTAAATTTTACGCGCGCACGCACGTACAAATTACGCGAAAGTGGAAATCAATCCTAAGGGAGAATACAGTACAACTGTAATTATGCACCCTATTGAAATAAATCGTAAAGAGTAAATTTTAAGCTCGGTGAAACAAATGTAAAAATAAGTTAATCAGTTTAAAATTTACCATCTTTCATTCTTTTACCACACAGTACGACATCGACATTGCTGATCCTTGCAGTATGCAGGACGCGTGTCGGATATGAACCTAGTATATGGCCTAGCTCTCCATGAGTTCTCCGTAGCTCAAGTGGATAGAGTGTTTTCACATGGCGTCACGGCAGCCATATTGGTGTCCCAAAACAATGAAACGGTGGCCATGTTGGTGTCCCAAATCAATCCTCTGGGAGTTGAACTCTTTTCTTATACAAACGCTTTTTTTTGTTCCAATAAATTTGCATAGATACTGGCCACGTGAGTGAAAACACTCTATAGAGCGCCCGCCCGGTGTTTGGGAGGTCTTAGGTTCGAATCCTGTTGGGGACTCAGATTTTTTATTTGTCCAAAGCTCGTGACATGCTGATTAATTCATTTTCATAGTATCCATAATATTTACAAACTCTTAACATATATAATCCGGAACTAGCCTTAGAATGAATGTTATGATCGAAATGCGTGTCGCAGTTGCATGGTAGCTTTGTAAATGTCACTCCTAATAACTTGAGTTCCCCTTTCCTCTCAATATCTTTCATGGGTTCCGGGATTGGTTTCTTAGTATTTCCTCTAACCACCATTTCCCACGTCTTTTGAGGTTCAAGGTTATAAAATTCTCAATAGACCAGCGAAGGGTATTCTGCACCTCGACTAAAGATAAGTCCAGAGTATTAGATGTTATATATAGGGACACTCAAAGTGATGTCACCAGTATACTTCAAGAGAAGATTCTTGTTTGGATTTGCGGCTATGATGTCATTTACCATAACAAAAAACAAGTCAGGACCTAACACAGTTACTTGTGGGACTCCTCTATTGATGTCCACAAACTTTGTTGACACGTCATCAACTACAACCCTTTGCTTTCGATTACTCAAGAAGTTTATTATCCAGTTGGAATATACCTTAGCAAAGTCAGCTTCTGTGTCCAGCCATCCTAAATAGTGATGTTGACATTTAATGAGGGCCATAGTAGTATTGTGACTCTCCTTGTAGCCAAACTGATCAGATCTGATTTGTGGTTGTAGGTTAGGAGATAGTTCGGTTTACAGACAAGCCTTTCAAATATTCACATCATGATGTTAGTTAATGAGATAGGTCTCAGCTGATTGCATTCAGACAATGGTGACTCTTTTGGAATGGGTGAGACGTTCGCTAGTTTCCACAATGAAGGGACTACTTGATGTCTAAGAGAGCTGTTGAAAATCTTAATAATAACAGGGGCAAGATGGTGGGCGTAATCACGCCAGAGCCATTTTCGGAAATTCATCCGGCCATGGTGCTGTTCTCTTCCGATTAATCAAAAAATTCCTGACTGAATGTTCATCATTGTAGGTGCCTGGCATCCGTGAGGTATCTGCAGATCGCACTGGAGCTCTATACGCCTCGTCAGTATTAATAGATTGAAAGTATCCATTGATAACATCAGGACGAATCACTTTACTAACTCTTTCTATCTGTAATCCTGTTCGCGATGTCCCACCAGCCCTTAACGCGCCTAGAGTGTTCCTTGCTTTCATTATTGACAGCATTCACTTGATTCCAGCAAATGAGAAAATTAATCCTCTCCTGTCGCGTGATGTTTTTTGCCACACTGCAGGTGTGTGATCTCTTGTTCCTAGTATTGCAAAGATGTTTCACGAGCGGGAACATGAAGGAGGGCCCCTGGACGACACCTTGACCCTGATGCGGGAAAAACTTTCATCAAACATAGTCCATAATCTATCATTCAACACCCTTACGCACTCTTCAGGTAATCCAAGCCAAGGATATCTGACCAGTCGCACAGCTCTAACTTCACTTCCACAGCAATTTTGTGAAGGTCGCGGGTATCTCTAAAGCTAACAAATTTGACAACAAGGTGGTTAGATCTTACAAGTCCTTTGTGCACTGTTCCTTTTTTGCAAAGGAATGAGCCGTTCGTAAGAAGGACATCTAAGATGCGATCCCCCCTAGTAGGGGCCATAACCAATTGTTGCATGGCCTACCGCTGCATGAGTTCTTTTATATTCAAGTGATTAATGTAACCCGCAATTATGATCTTAGTGTTCGGATCGTCAGCAAGGGTCTGATGACATGTTTCTGACATATATTTAAGGACATGAACAGGGTCATAAACAGGATCAGGGGGATGAATGAATGATTTACAAAGTACTTTCCTTATATTATCTGCATCTTTTTCCTCCTCTAGCTGCTGTTTCTCTTCTGGGATAACTTTGATAATCGTTGCCTTTTAGCTTGAGGCTTCATGTTTGTGTTGTTGTGTTCATTCACGATAAAGAAAACTGGCAGTGTTTTTGCCGTCTCCTGTCACGCCACCTTCCACCATGATTTGGTCACGAGCTGTAATGTATCCCGAGCGGGGTACAATTGCTCAAATGTATCACGATCGGGATACATTTGATTTTAGTCAGGGCCATGTGACCAAGAATCAACCAATGGCAGTCCCTGTTTATTTGAGTGAAAGTCTAGGAATCTAACAATAGTCTGTTATTGTCTTTATTGAATAGCAACGCTTATTGGTATTGGGGCGCTTGGAATGAGGGTGCTTATGCAATAGAGGTGCTTATTAGAATGGGAGCGCTTATTAACAAAAACCCATTCGAGGTGGAGGCGCTTATTGGAACGAAGTTAGTTCGCTGAAGTTTAGAATAATTTTTTTTTTTCTTAGAGGGACAGGTATTTTACATGAATGCAAACAACACTTATGATTCTTATGACGCAAAACATAATCATTTATGGTGTTTTGAACATGCATGGAGACCTGAAAAGTAAGCGCATTAAGAAAAACAAGTTTAAGATAGCAGGTGGATTGTTTAACACTGTTAAAAAGAACCAACATTTAATTCTATCTGTCACATTTGAAATTCAGTAAAATTATGTTTGCCATAGATTTGTTTTAGTAACTTAAGAGACCATACTGAAAGATCACAAGAAGGACAATTAACACTGGTGTAGTACTTAGTCGCTGATGGAAATTAACCCCGCCCCCCCTCCCTCCCTTTACCTCCTAGGTCAGTCAAGTGACGTAGAAGCCAATGAAGTACGCAAACTCTAAGACATTACTTACCTTTAATAAGCATTCTGTTTTTTTCACTAGCTCCTTTAGAAATAGAAGCACGCGGAGAAAAAGCACAGCTCGCTTATCAAAGTGCTCTGAAAGATGGAGCTGTTAATGTTTACCGTGGTCGAGTATTGCTTATTGGGCAAGATCGAGCAGGAAAAACAAGTTTGAAGAAGTCTCTCATTGGTCTACCGTTTAATTCAAAAGAAAAAAGTACTGATGGAATTGAAGTGGATCCATCAAAATTTCAGTTGGGCGTTGATGAAGTCAGGAATTGGCAACCTATTGATGAGAGAAAACAAGGGTTGCTAGGATGCTTGAAAGATGTGGCACAGATGGTGGTGGAAAAGATGAATGATACTTCAGTTAACCGTGATTGGGTTTAGGAGGAGGAAAGAGGTGATGCGATTCTTCAAAATGATTATAACAAGAATAGGAAACAGGTTGGTGCTGATGCAGAAGAGGAAGAAGTTACTCTTGTGAACCAGGTTTGTCTTTGTTGGTTTTAAAATGTGATGTTTGTTCGTGAATCCTTCGTTACGTCAATAATTTCCTAACAGTAATTGCCCCCGCAGGGATTTCTCCCAGAAGCCGAAATCGCGAGGAGGCACTCTAGTAACTCGCGCGTATATTAAGGAAAGTACTTACAGCTGAAACATACAGTCATACAGTCAATATAGAAAAAGTCTCGATTTGCTTGAACAGGGGCCGCGAGGAATCGGTAGGTAATGATGACGTTTCTATTGTTTGCGCCCGCAAGTACGAAATGGTTAGGATGACGTTAAGACAGAACATCCCCAAGGGACCGTTTATGTAGATTTTGTGACATTTATTGTGCAGTCATACTTCGACACTCTTTTACGTTACGTGTTATCAGTGACATTCTGTGGAGCAGTTGTTTCAGTGAAAGTTATGGACCAAAATTTTAACGACACTCGTTAAGCGCAGAAGAAGTTATAAGGTGCGTATAACTGTGTATATATAAAGACTTGGAGAGTTTGCCAAACACGAGTTCCCAAATCTTTCATTGGAAACCTTGCCAGACACTCTTTCTCTCTCTTTGACCGGAATAAGACTCAGCCCCAAACAAGCAGGACAAGTGAACAACGGCTAGCTTCACACTAGCAGAACGATGGACGATTACAGAAATTCGCCGACAATCAAATTCTGTGCTGACTTATTCCCTGCCGCTATAAAGTTTAAAATAAGACTAGAATGCGCGAGATTGAATTGATCAAACGTCCTTTTAATTTCCAAGGCTTCCTTTCCTGGAAATAAAATGAACTGAATGTAAAAAGTGAAAGAGAAATAGCGAAAAATTCAACTTCTAATGAAATCTTTTCTTATGGTTTAGAATAAACTATTCTCGAAACTGAGAATGTTTTGATCAAAGCTATATAAATCGACCTGAAACTGTGCATGAAACCTTGCGTTTCCTGTATTTATCTCACCTATTGTATGACATATGTGTGAAAATCTTCATTATGAATCGGTATATTTCAAAGAGCTACACAACGAGCAAGAATGCTATTGACCGACAATATACAGAGCGGGGGCAGCTGTAGTGTCAACTATTACTAGTTATTATGAATTGATTATTGCCTTCATAAGTTAGGTTTTAGTGAGAAACTCACCACGGCTTCCCTGCCTTTTACTACGATGTCATTATGGAAAATATGTAATAATTGCCAGATCGTGTTTTTTTTTTCAGTGCTGGTTAAAAATTTAGCATTTTTATACTTGTCTGATAAGTTCAGTTTCGAGTAAAGAATGATATTACTACCAACCATTTTGTTATATTTCCATGATTGTACCCATCTACACATAAGCTTAGCCTTTGGGTCATTAGTGCGTATGCAAACCAAACTGAGTATAGCCGTTTCTTTATTTATACTTTTAAGTGTTAATTAGTCTTTGAGTATAGCTTTCGCTAAGTTTTTTTTTGCCAATCACAATTTCCCTACGCTGTTTCCCTTTTTATGCGAGGAGCAAGGCCAAGGGGTTGGGGGGACTCAATCAAACACCATATTTCTATATATTCTTAAATTTACTGTTCCTTGAAAAATGCAGGAGCATTTTAATGTTTTGGATACCTCATTCCTCCAATAATTGTACCTCAATGTTTGAACTTATAAAGAATATTCTGTTATCCATAACAACTTTAAATGGCTGAATAATCAAATCAGGGGGATGAAGAGGAATAATCCGGTTCATTATTCCAGCTGGAAAATTTACGTTATTCCATTATTAGTCGAGCTTGCTTTAGCAGAGCGAGACTCTAAAAATGCAGTCGTTTCTTTTTTCTTGTCGGGGGGACCTAGTTTGTAGGCCACGCGTTCCTAGCGAAGACCGTGGAAACTGGGGATAAGAATCGTGGCGACTTTCACTGTATGCAAATGACTCTCCTGATGAGCATGCGGTATATTTTCGGCGATGACTGAAGTTTGGCACTGATGTAATTTTCCTCGAATGGAGGCCCTTGATTTTCGTGTAATTATGCACGACATGCAGGCACTGATTAAAAAGGAAATATCCCCAAGTAGGGTGAGAAAATATTATAGCGGGGAAATCCTATTTTGTGGTGTTTTAAGGCGTTACGTTTCTCAGAATATTGCCTCAATTACTTTCGGAAATCTACGGTAAAATAGATTCACTTTGTTTTATGTATTTAATTGATAGATTTTCGCAGTTGTTAAGATGTGAAGTCGTGTTGCACTTTATAAATACTTGAGATATCAAGTATCTTTTACGTGCGTACGTGCGTAAAATTTGCGTTTGCAAATAAAATAGAGGCAATGTATGAAAGATCGCAGTTAAAATTATGTAAACGTAAAAGGAGAAACTCGCTCAACAACGCAGTGCGCTTTGGTCCGCCGCAAATTGTGCTTGTGAGGAAGTTTGGGATGAAGGTATCATTTTTTTTTCAAGTTTTAGTCTTAAAATTGTCAAAATAAATCATATTGTGGCGCACTGCGCTGAAAAACTTTGTTATCTTCATATCTATAAATGTGCCACTCCACTGTAAAAAATATACATTTGGTTAGAGTGTAGCGTAGGTTAGCTCCAAAATAGTAACGTAGACCACACCCTAAAATTCTTCACATTCCACGAATGCCACGAAACTTACCAGATAAAAATATTTTTTTTCTTTTTTATGCATAATGATTTATCACACCGTAAAATTTTAAGACAGTCTGACAAATCCTTCATCCAATTTTTTATTCACAAACTTGAGGTAAAAAGGTCCAAATTAGCCTCCGGTACCACCTTAAATCTCAACACTTTATATCTTACCCCTATTTTATTTACGTGATTAAAATTTACGTGTGTTAACGTGTGGACCCAAAAACGCGTCAGTGGAAATCCACCATAACGTTACGTATCACGGATGTGTTTATACGGGTAGCTTTGAACTTGACTATCCGCGCATCTACTTGCAGCACTTCATGTCCATAGAATAGAAATCCCATATCGAGCTTTTCCGGAGCGGGTTGGTCCAAGAATTCTATCGCTTGAATGTGTTGATTATTTTGGAACAACAACTGATCACTTCAGTGGTCGAAAATAAAAAGAATAATCTTAATCAGCAAAACCTCAAGGTTTACTGGAAAATCAAGATCGAGGATCGAGGAATTAGGGATTCAGGATCGGTTAAAAAGAACTTGAAAATAAAATGAATAAATAAATGGTGGATCAGTGGTGATGTGGGCCGCAGACTGTAGATAAATTTCACAGAACATAACCCCGTTGGCTGTACTGAACACTAAATTCAAGTAAACTAATCCGAGTCTGTCTAAGTCAGTGATTGTTTTGACGAGAAAGTGAAATTTTCCTGGAAAATGAAACGCTTTATCCCAGTGATACTGTAATAAAAGAAAAAACTTTAACAGTTTTTAATTTTTTAATTGTACATTTGCTTCCACTACTCCATATTTTTCTTGTAATTGTTGTATGCACGACCCCACCAGCAATGTTGATATTTTTAGCGTGCTAAAATAAAGTTCTGATCTATCTATCTAAAATGCATGCTGTGCACAACTCTAAACATTGTACTCTGAGACTGTACGAAAATATTAAAAGTAGATACTAAGCAGCTATGGAAAATGTAATTATTTTCACGCGGTATTGATATCTTATAAGGAGGACACAAAATTCAGCAGGAATACGCGCGAACTGAATAAACTTTGTGTTGTATAAGGTTCTGTTAAACTTACACAATTTTCCTGTGCTGGACATATACTGTACCGAGCCGTACTTTGGTCCGGTACAAAGAAGCTATGAATATTTATACTGACAGAGTCATGGTCCCCTGATACCGATAAAAATCATCGGTGAATTTTGGGAGTGTAAAATTCGCGAAAGAGTACTCCTCAAAAGAGCAATATCAATATGTAGAAGGTTTTCAAAAGGTTTCACACCAGTTTGAGGCTAAGTTGTGCGGCCTGTCTCTCCTTGCAATTTTTACTTTTTGAGTATTTACATTATGACATATAACACTCGTTTTGTATTCCAAACGAAAAAGTAGGATAACAGCACCGGTGCCTTTGACAACAAAACTTATCTCCAAGCAAGCGAGACTCAACGTTACTAACAGCGTTCTTGTTCCAGTAAAAAAGAAGTCATTATTCCGTTGAAGAAACCTACTTTTTCAATTATTTTGCCCCAGAAAATGGCGTTATTTCCTTTTTTCTTACTCTACTATTTCTCTTCACCCCCAAAATCGAGCCAGCTACCGTAGGTCTTTTAGAATCAGAATCAACAGTTCTTTTGTTTGTTTGTTTTTTTCGTAATCTGCTACAGGTTGGTGATCTAAACGAAGACAGTGTTAGTGAACTCACATTAACAGGACCTGATCATGAGTTAGTGGTTGATACTACTTCACCTTCAGAGGAGATAAAGGATCGAACTGTAAATTTAATAAAGTACATGAAAGGTGAAGATGTTAAGCCTGAGGAATCTGTTGTCAGTATTGAACTGTGGGATTTTGCTGGACAACACCTGTATCATGCATCCCATCCTGTATTTTTATCATCACGTGCGCTGTACATCTTGGTGTGCAACCTCAGCAAGTCACTGCATGACACAGCCAAACCCTGTGTGAGACAAGGGTCTCGTAATGTTCCTTTGGAAAACCCAAATGGAGAAACAAATCTTGAGAATTTGTTGTCTTGGCTGTCCACAGTGCATAGCGTCGCACAGATGAGAAGAGAAACCTGTGATGATGAAGAAGAGGAGGTGCCTCATTATTTGCGCCCCCCAGTGATCATTGTAGGAACCCATGCAGACAAACCATTTGAAGACATTGAAACAATGAAAACAGAAATCCAGAACGCAATTGCTGGTAAGGACTATGAAGGACATGTGGTGCGGCCTATCTTCAGCATTGACAACACTGCAAAATTAACTCAAAGAAAGATCAAGAAAAAAGTTTTCGGGAAAGATAAAAACATAGATAAGATCCAAGCTCTACAAGTGAAAATCTTGGAAGTGCTAAGACAGGAGCCTTACATTGGGGAGAGGATACCTGTGAGGTAAATAATGGTTATACAAGAACAGAATCCATTAAAGTAAATATTAAAAATAATTTCAAGGGTTGAGTTGTGAACGCACTGAAATTACGGTTTATGTGTATTGCGTTTGTTTCCGCCAGTCCTGGTAAGATTATTTTTTTGATATGTAATGTGTTTCAGGTCTCATCATTAACTCGTTGACTGTGACGCTATATAAAAGTGTGACCGCAAAACATCTAAAGGCTGGTTCACTGTATAGTCCTTTACTTTGGTTAAAAAAAATTACAGCGTGCACAGAAGAAGTTCAGTGATTCCTGAATGAACCACCTGGCGGTCATAAGAAATGAATATCTCGTTGCTTCGTCGTGTAGAATTCCCGTTCCATTGAGGTCAACAAAAAATTTCCCGTCCGGGTGGGGGTTAGTATTTTGCTGTTTTTATCCTTGACACTTGTAAATGAAGCATACATGAGTTAAAAACAACAAAACGGTCAAGGAGTACTGGAAACAAGTTTGAAAAATTAATAAGATGGCGGCCGAAACGCGGAGAATTTTTTTTGGCTTTCAAAGACGTTTTCTGGGCGTTTTCTTCCCGCTGGCTACCCCTCACGGGTTCAGGTCAAATTCAAAGGAAAACAAAAAACCCAGTTTTATCACATTCCTTGGTTGAAAAGACTGTGGTGGTTTTAAAGGCAGACGAGAGATGGCACGATATCAGGTGGTACCGTTCGCGATTTCGGCAAACTTTGGTTGTAATCTTTCCGCGAAAGTCTACGCAAGTGAAAATCCATACAAAAATGGCGATTTTTTGGTTGGTTTTTAGCGCGAAAAACCCAGTGAAATCCGATAAGCTGGCATTAATCGAAGGTAAGATCTTGAATTTGATGTTTTTTGATATTAATATTCCGGTGGTACCCATTGAGATTTGGTTACGAGTAACTCACAATCAGAGACAAAAAACTCTCAAAGTCGCTTCAGTCTTATTATTCCGCCATATTTTAAAGACCAAATCGTGGCTCGAATGCGGCTCTAGCCTGTTAAATTCCCGGATGTGACCGGGCATTCTACGCGATGTGAAACACGTTAACCATGAAAAGCACTTCTGACTGAGCTTAAGGAGTATTCTGCCCTGAAGGGTTTGATAATCTTATTTTGAATTGGCCGAAAAGCACTGTGTACATTTCATTGTCGTTTTAAAAAGATAAAGTAAAGTGGATCACACACCCGTTCAATCTGTAGTAAACTGCATAGTACAGGGCGAACATTCAGAACATGACCAGCTGTATTAGTTAAGATTATTTAAGCTTATATTTATCTCATTTTAACTTAAGAAAGACCATTAATACCAACTAATAAAAAATCTTTATGGTTTTTCACATCTCAGCAGTCATGTTTTGGAGCGTTTACATGCTTCTGGCACCGGTTGTTCAAACGATGAATCAGTATCAAGCGGAAAAAATATCAGTAAACCTAATGGCACTATCCACTATTTATCCAGTGAAAAGATTTATCCACCTTTCGCACAATTGGGCCCTGTACTTTAGTCAGCACAGGTATACTGTGTCGTCACAGACATGACTTTGTATACTTTAACACGCGTCATCAGTTTTCTCTTTGGTTTTGTAAACTAGGTGGCTGAGCTTTGAGAAAGTCATCAACGCTTTGCTTTCCAAGCCAGTTTATTACCTGAGTATAACAAAGCTACGGACCCATGCCAAGGAGAAGTGCTTCATCAGTGACGATGAAGAGTTTACCACCATGGTGAATTTTTATCATGACCTGGGGATAATTATCAGGCACCGTAGCACAGTCACCTTGAGTGCCAAGTGGCTGATAAACTTGTTCGGGCAGCTGATCACTATTCCAGATTTTACGAAAATGGTAAGAAATACATTTTAAACGTGTTTTTAAACTTACAATGCTTTGTAATGGCCCCCATTTTGGATGACATCACGGGTGTTAAACCGTGCCGTAACAAATAAAAATGATTTTGTCACGTGCATTGCACGCTAGCTTTCGTGTGTGACATCAGCACAATCTAACTTTAAAGGGGTGCAATGGAAGTACATTGCTTGACTTGTAGAATTATCCTCAAATGTAGTCTTAATAAAACGCCTCACAACAAAAAAGAGTAGAAAGATACATATATTTCTGCTGAAACCAGCGACTCTTTATGTCGAACAATCAGAACGCACTTTTATAGTTTCTGGAAGTGAAATTTGGACCTTAAGAATTTTCCGGAGAGTAAACCAAATAGAGGATTCTGGCATTTACGTGACGCTTTAAAGAGCATTCTATAGATTTGAAATCTGAGGTCTGTTTAAAAGGCTATGATCTTTTTTCGCCCCCAGAAAGATTTATTCACAGTTATACTTTCTAGTCAGTCTTTCGTAACTTTCATTTTAGACGTGTCCTCACACAAATCCGCAAATTACAAGGAGAAAAGTTTTCCTTGAATGTTTACTTAAAATGTCTAGTAGCTTATTTCTTTTAGAGAACTTGCTAAACTTTATTAGTATAACATTTAGAAATGTAAAATGATCCTGGAAGAAAGCTATTTTGAATAGTTTTGTGATCATTCAATCAATCAAATCAATCAATCAATCAGTCTTTATTCTTCGTAAGATAAAAAGACATATCTTAAGTTACATCAGCAGTTAGGATTCTAAAAATACATACGACATACTGTATACAAATAATAGAAAGATTAAAGATTATATCTAAAAATAAGCCTATTTACAAAAACATTCTTAAATGTATCAGTCTTTATATCCGAGCGATGAGCACTTTTGTTTCTGAGTTGTTACTTTGTTTCTTTCTTCTTCGGAAAGATGTTACTAAGCTGGCAATCGGGATCCACTGAACGTACCTTGAAAAGCTTCTTATCTGCCTTCTCTAAAATTTCTCGAATGTCCATTCTCTTAGATGTGTATTTCCTTTTAAAACATCTATCCAAAACGTTTTGTATGACCGTGAGATCTGAGTCTACAGCACTATAAACAGGCAGACCATAAGTGAAATTCGGTAAAACTAAGGCGCTAAATAGGTGGCTACTTCAACTTGACTAAAACCTTCCATCCGTAAAAAATCTTAATACAAACAGACACTAACAGTATTTGCCTTAATCAACTTAACACGTACGTGTTCGCTATATTTACAATTCTCCAGAAACCTAACACCTAAAATGAGCAGTGAATGTTATTAACTTGCACAATATCCTGAATAAAACCTTTCTTGCGAAAAATAATTTCTTTACATTCCTCTTGTTATTCCGTCTTAGGTCCCTAAGTTTGCAAAGCACTGGAAGGAGGTCGAAGAAAGCGGTGTTCTCGGCATGGAACTGCTTGATCATGTGTTTTCCAAATTTCTTCTGGAGGGCGTCGCCAGGAAAGACATTCTGGATTTGATGGAACAATTTGGATTGATTGCAAAATTTTCATCTTTAAAGACAGGTGAAAAGTATTTCGTTCCATCTCAACTCAAAGCTTCGCCTGATTCCCTTTGTTCCATGGCGCCCTCAAGGCTGGACCCTTGTCCTCTGTTTGTTTACTTTGCCAGCGGTTCTGTTCCCCATGGTCTGTTCACTCGGCTTGTTTCTCGATCTGTCCGTTGGTGTTCAGAGGCTGGTCCAACTCAGCCCCCTACCCTGTACCAAAATGGAGCGTGGTTTATCATTGGGAAGCAAACTTTCCATGATTTTGTTCTTATTTGTAAGAAGCAGTTTATTAAGTTTTTTATCAAGCAAAGAAACCAACTTCAGCAGATCTCGGTGGATGGCACAAGTGAGGTAGCAGTGCATGTTCGTGAGTTTGTGGAGGCAACTTTGCAAGCTTTGTCACGTGACCTCTATAAAGGTGGATTGCAGTATCATATTCGGGTCGCCTGTCCGTATTGTCAGCGGGAAAAGTGTTCAAGGCATGATCAGATTGCATGTTCTCATGAAGATTGTCTTCATCTCCTTGAGTTACGACAAGGCGATCCTCTGATTTGCAAGAAGAAACCTGTTGAGGAGGTACTCACAGTTAAGGGACAGCAAAAGTGGTTCTCGCAAACAGAAAGTAAGGTAGGTAGCAGTGAAATGCGATCTCTAGCAGTAGTCTTAGCAAATTTCATATAGCAAGTGAATACACATACTACTCATAAAAAATTATGTCCTTAAAATAAAAAGGTTTCAACAAAGTCTATGCATCTGGTTTGTCAGGTTATAGTATGATGTACAACGTATGCCTTCATTTATCCTACCACAAGCCTCCTTGCAGTGTATGAGAAGGCTTTGTTGCTGTCAACTTAACGAACATTGGTTCTTAATATCAAGTCGGTTGATAAGGTCAATTGGCTACCATCTATTACTAATTGTTATTGGCCTGTTGGCATTAAGCAGTGGGTATATAACTTTTTCTCAAGTCTCAAGTTTTTTTTTTGTTTTTTTCTCAAGTTTTTAATGTGCTGTTTTGCTTTAATGTTGAGTAATAAGTTTATAGCACCTAACGCGTTGATAACATGTTTTGCAAACTTTCACTTCAAAATGTAGAAACCCCCAGATGTAAAAGTTTATATTTTAAAGTGCGCAATTTTGGTTGCTATGCAGGAGGCGTGTACTCAATCATCATCACCTGATACTGCACAAGCTCATCCAGGGAGTCTTGTACTAAGAGTTGCCCTTCTCGCGAATGAGTGGGGGTCGTCCAAGGGTGGCTTGTCAACGATAAACAGAACTCTTGCCATACATTTGGCAAAAGACGCAAACGTAGAAGTCACCATTCTTGTACCTGAATTTGAGTGTGGCGAAGAGGATAAGAGAGCTGCCGAAAGTCACAACATTGCCATCCGGGAAGCAGAGCGCCTTCCTGGCTTCAGTGATCCTCTTGACTGGTTGAGTTTTCCACCAGATGACCTTGACATTCAGGTTGTGATCGGCCATGGAGCAAAGCTTGGCAGACAAGCACAAATTATTAGAAAGTCCCATCGATGCAAGTGGGTGCAGGTTGTTCACACTGAGCCTGAAGAGCTGGGGATGCATAAGAACTATCCAAGCGCCATTGCCAAGGGAGAAGGGAAGAACAGAGCTGAAGTTGACCTTTGTCAAATTGCAGATCTCATTGTAGCCGTTGGACCCAAGTTGAAAGAAGCGTTCTCGTCCAAGTTGCGTTCATCTCGTCGAGATATCCTTCAACTGATACCAGGTTCCTTCGCAGAGTTTTCAAGCATTGAACATGCTGTACAAGAAAGTGTAAATTTCAAAGTGTTGGCCTTCGGTCGCGGTGATTTCGAAGACTTTAGTCTTAAAGGATACGACATTGCCGCTCAATCCATAGTTGAATTGAAGGACAGTTCCTATAGTCTTGTTTTCGTTGGTGCACCCGATGGAAGGCAGGATGAAGTCGCAGAAATCTTACTCCAGACTGGCATTTCAAAGAACCAGCTGATTGTCAGATCATTTGTGAAAGACAAACAAAGATTGAGAGAGTTGTTTTGTGAAGTCGATCTGGCCATCATGCCATCAAGAACTGAGGGGTTTGGTTTGACAGCATTGGAAGCCATGTCAGCTGGTCTTCCCATTCTGGTTAGTGGAAATTCCGGATTTGGAAAAGCACTGCGTGGTCTTCCAATGGGTGAATCATTTGTGATCGACTCTGATGACCCCAAGGAATGGGCAAAGGAAATTGCAGCCATCCGTCAAAAATCAAGGACACAGCGTCTTGAGGAAATCCAAAGACTGCGAAGATGTTATGATGAAAGATTCTCTTGGGAGAGACAGTGCCAGGCCCTTGTTGACAGGATGTGGACGATGGTTTATGGTAAGAAATCAAATTCACCGATAGTAAAGTAACAATAATAATAATAATTAGTTCTTGAAAATGTGAAAATGCATATCTTATCAAGATTATCCTTCATTTGACCTTCATCATTCATCGCTGTATGTCCATGGCTTCTGCATAAAATACATTCGAGAGCATAAATACATTTTTACTACATTATATTTCGTGGTCCATGTGCATCGCTGTAGAAATGTTGTCATTAACCTTTTTAACCTTAATGTTAACATTCACACTCTCCACACTGTTCTCCATACATATCTTGTGTTACTGATTAGGAGAATTTGTTTAATAATCAAGATCTTTTTTACCGGCTTACCAATTCCATTCTTTAAAACTTTTATGGATAATTTTATAAAATGTTGGCTACACTTGAAATCTATAACATTGCGATACATCAAAGTCATCTGATTTCTATTCATATGCCGCAGTAATGGTGGGGTTCTCTTGTATATAAAAAGAAAATAACAACAAAAGCCCAGCCAAACTTTTGGCTTATAACTTATTACAAAAAATGAATGGAGGGCTTTTAAGGTTGGAATTTTTCTTTTTTTAAGAGTGACATTTTTTGTTATAATCAACACTTTTTGTTTAATTTACAGGTCTTGAAAAAACCAAAGAAGGTGACGTTCCACCGAACGACTGTGAAAAAGTTGGTGCAGCAGGACCGAAGGCAGGTAATGTAATTGTTTGCTTTGTCAATAAAAGCAAAGACAAAATTTATTTTGCAGTAGAGTGCGGTTATTTTCTTCTGTTGAACAAGGGTGCTTTCGATTATTCGGATGCTTTTAGCTTTTCAATGTTTAGTGTAGCATCTCTGAGTATTTAAATTGACTGCTAATTTTAAACTTTATAGGTGTTGATAAAACCAAAGAAGATGACGTTCCACAAAATGGTTTTGAAAAAGATGCTGCAACAGGACCGATGGCAGGTGATGTCATTGTTTGCTTTGCCAATTAAACCAAAGCCAAAATATATTTTTGCAGTAGAGTGAAGTTACTTTGTTCTTTTAAAATCACAGTAATTTTTCTGAAATTGTCGACTGTTGTAAGCTTCAGACCAATGCACTGTGCTGCACCTGTTTTATGGAACTCGCTACCATTAAGTAAAAGAACAAGTAGGAGCCTTGCCATTTTTTAAAAGGATCTTAAAACATTTCTTTTTAGGCCGGAGAGCTTATAATTTACTAGAATAACTCTGAAGTTTAGTGGTTAATTTTGTATAGAATTAGACTTTTTAGATTTTCGCAGAGCATGGAATTTTTTTATTATTATTATTGTTAATATTAGCTTTTTAGGATTTTTTTTTAATTGTAACTTAATGTGAAGCGCTTTTGAATATTTTATAGTTCTAGTACTATACAAATTCTTTATCATTATCAAGATCATCATCTCCTATAAAACTGGCTTGAAATAACCTCTACCGTAAAATTCCGAAAATAATCTCCGGAGCTTATATTTTTCAAAGGTTCTTTTTGAGGGGCTTATTTTTGGAGGGGCCTATATTCGGAGGGGCTTATCTACGGAGGGATATTTGCGTTTCAAAATCGATTAAGCTTCCCTTATAGAACGAAGTAAATTTACCATTTTTGCTTTGTTTCACTCTGTATTTGAGGGCAAGTACCATCCCCCGCTTGGCTTATATTTGGAGGGGCGATTTAACGGAGAGTTTTTAGCGTTACCGGTCTGGGGGGCTTACATTTGGAGGGGCTTATACATAGAGGGGCTTATTTTCGACATTTTACGGTATGTTATTTTGTCTTTTTCATCTTCCGCTTTCAGGTGAACTCATTTTCCGTGCACTTCAACAAATCCTGCTGGAAGCACGCATAGAGTTCAGTAAAACTGAGCTTTCGCAGGCTTTAAAGAGGACTTCGTTGGAAAAAGGTTTTGCGATATCTGACAATCAAGGAGAGGGAAACTGCATGTTTTTTGCACTTTCAGAGCAGCTTGTCCTCATCAAAGGAATTCAAATCTCCCATGATGAGTTACGCCGAACTATTGTTCAACACCTTCGGGAAAACCCCAGGCTGGTAAGTATCTTATTACCTTATTAGGGTGCACACATTTACAGTATACGAGCATAGCTGTGGCATTTGCCCGCTACATTGTTTTAATTCCTCTTAAAGTTAAAAAAAAAATAAGGCCCTGTCCACACGTATCCGAAATACGCATCCACACGAAGCGTATTTGAATCTTTTTCGCCCGTCCACATAAAAACGCTAAAATGATTGAAATACGATAGCAGCCATTTACAGAGCATGCCCAATGTTGTATTCTAAATCCTCTGTATTCGTCCATCCGCACGTCGTTTTCTAAAATGTCCACTCTTGGGAACATTTGTGAAACCTGCTTCTTCGGCGCCCGAAAATGCCGACCACGTGTGGACGGAAGGCTAAAATGGACAAACAAATCTGCGATTTAAAAAAAATATACATCCGGATACGTGTTGACGGGGCCTCAAATTCCTACGATTGAATATGACGGCTTTACGGGTATGATGCAAATGAATCCACCCTTTATGAGCAAAACATCAGCTCTGCATGAGGATCACGCTTGTTTGTACTTTGCTTCGTCGTTCACTGCACGACTGCAACGCAAAACGTCCGTATGCGACGTTTTGTGTAGGGCACCGAACCCCCACGGGTAATTATTGTTTTCGGGCTGGGATACAGTCATTAAGAACCCAAAACTAAGAAAACTCGTCGACTTATGTTAAATTAAGCATTATGATAAAGTTTGAGAGAACGCAAATTCTTTTCCCAAGTTACTTTTCGAGTCGGAGGCATAAATGGATACGGAGAATTTTTTTTATTTCTTTTTGTCGGCTCGATCGTCATGCTCATGCCCTATTTTATTTTTTGCGGTATATTGCTAAACTTGAAATGTCGACCAACACCAGTTTTGTGTGAACAGGATATGACTACATACTGGTTTAAAAGTCGCAATTTCCAAACTCACTTTATTTTAACAGTAAACATCCCTTCCCTCCCCTCTCTCTCTCTCTCTTACACGTGTAACGGACACCTCCCTAAAACCTCCTAAACCTACTCCACCTCCCTAAAAGTGTTGGTCCCTGCCGTTCTTAACTGTTGTTTTTTTTTTTACATTTTTAAGGAGAGTAGTATAGGTCACACAGGTTAGACCCCTTTTTGTAGTCGAATCTTATTACTGTGATGACATGACATCTTTATCTTAGCAATAAAATGCGGTGGAATCTCTTCAGGATAACTTCACGAGCTATTTTTATGTAGTATTTAGTATATCCAATTATTCTTATATTGATGATGTAACTTGTTGGGATCTTGTCCTTAGTTTCTGAGGATGATGTCGTAGATCATTCTAAATTATGTGCGTCATGTTTTTATTTGGTCATGAAGACACCTCTGAACCATGACGCCTTCATTGTCCATTGCAGACAACTTGATCTGTGTTCACACTATACCGTATAGTTTTTTCGCGGGCACGAGAATCATACCGGATGGGGTATCAGTTCACAAATAAGAACGGTGATTTCGGCGCGATTTCTGTTCAACGGAGAGAAGCTGTGCCTCGCCGATCTCTTAAGTGGAGAGTCACATATCGGATAGATGTTCACACTATACCGGATGGCTTTTCGTGTCGTCACCAAAGCTTATCTGGTATGGTATGATCATAGCTTTATTGTTCTGGTTCCGGTTTACTGATTCTTGGTGCGCAAAGGAGATAAAGACGTCATCGACGTTAATTTATTTGACTTTAAAAAAAGACGTCTACCTGGCTCGTCCCATACTACTAAGGTGAATAAATCTTTGCTTTAATACTTTAATAGGGATACTCCTAAAACAGTGTACACTATACTAGTGCTGATACTAGCGTGGTCAGCCTTAGAGAGAACAGACAGCGCGGCTGTCTAAATAAAATACCTTCTAAAAAAAGCACTGTACCTTTTTCTCTATTAACTACAGTAGTTGTTTCTTTCTTACAGCCGGATGGGACAGAACTGTTTCATTTTGTTGATGGATATCCATCTTGGGATGCCTACCTCACAAGTATGATGGCAGATGGTATATGGGGTGATCACGTGATTCTACACGGCGCGGCAAACTACTTGCAAACGTGCATCCATGTGATCAGCAGTCTTCCGCATCGCCATGACGTAATGATCTGCCCAGAGTTTGATGTTAGTGGTGGCAACCGGCTTGTGCTGGGTCATGTGCACGAGCTTCACTATGTTAGCCTTATTCCACATAACGGAAGTAAAGATGTCTGAGTATACTGCGATTCAAGAGTTGCTAACTCGCGATATCAAATTGAAGACATTTGAATGGAACAACTGCCTGAACCTTTGTTGTGGCACCGTATTTGAAAAGATGTTGGCAAGAAAAAAGATTTAGATTTTAAGAACAGTTTTTGCTCCAGGTGTTCCTTGGCTGCAGTCTCTGAAAATATTTAGTGTCAGTTTCCGTACTGAGTAGAATTTGTTCGTATAGGATCAATCCTTTTTCAAGATATTCCTTACCACAGAACTTAGTCAAAGACTTTTCTAATCGAGTTTGTTCTTTAAGAATTGTTCCTGTTTCTGGTACGCTTTTATCAATCTGTAAATACTTTCAGCCATTAGAACTACAGTCAGCCATATTCGAGATCATCTGTTGTTCCACACCTGTGACGTCACGTCACGTGATAGGCAAAATCAAAGCATCAATGGCGGAAGTTCAAGTAAGCGGCAAATTTGACACTTTGAATTTCGTTTTCTGAGCCAAATAGATCGATGAAGATATATTTCTTGATGGTATTACAATTAGAAAAACATTTTCAAGGTTTTTCCGAAAAATGTTGTCCTACGCGAGAGTTGCCCTTTAAGGCGAATTTCTGAATGACAGTAACCCTTATCTAGCTTGCGAATACAGAAGCCTCTAATTACGCCTCGTCGCTGGGGAACACCAATTCCTTATCATAGTATGCAAGTATTTTAATATAGTAGAAGTAACTTACCAGAGTACTGTTTTACCAGTGTGTCTTAATATATTACCAAGGCCACTGCCTCTATTTTGGTACATCAAGTAATATATATAGACTATGGTAAAAGTAGTTAGGTTTAAAAAAAATATGTCATTCTACGTACTTAGTGAGAGTCTTTTTATAATTTGCTATAGTGTATTAACTTATAAATTAAAACGTACTAGTGTTAGTGCCGGACCGGTTATTTTTTAATTGAAATATGCTTTTTAAAGGAGTTTTGGTTAAAGTTACATATCAACCGATGCATATTATTCATAAATTGACTCATCTCAGGCTGGACAGTTTCAATTAATTCATAGACTATTCCAGAGGACCGCCCTTCTATAGTGGAGGCTGTATTTTTTCAGCCTCAGTATACAGTCTTGGTACAAACAAATTATGTTCCTTAGATTAAAGGAGTACATAGAGTTTGTACCATTAAAAATTTGAGCCAAATGATCTGATGCAATGTGATTTTTCAATTTATACATTAGTGTGGTTAATTGCCTTGTCCTTCGTGTCTCAAGATTATCCCACCCAAGTTCATCCAGTATCTCAACTGATCGCCTATGGTAACTAGAGGAAGTTACCACCCTGGCAGCTCTGTTTTGGAGGGTCTGGAGTCTGTTACGTATCCCTTACCCACAGCTCCCCCACACTATACTACAATAATCGAAATACGGTAGTACAATGGATTTGAACATCGTAATTAATGTATGATAAGGTATGAGATGCCTTACACATCTCAGAACTTCAATCCCTCCAGAAGCGTTCTTAGCAATTTTGTCTACATGATCTCTCCAAGTTAATGATTGATCTATTTCAAAGCCATGATATTTATAACCCTGCGATGGACTAGGATCCCGTCCAGGGGGGAGTAGCAATACTCCTAGGCTTGCTTCATGCTAAGCGAACCGGTATAAGCTCCGGCCGTGTGGGCCTTTGGCTCGTGTGCTCCTTTACCTTACCTTTTCCTCACTACCACGGGAGCGGTCTGGCTGCCGGTCAATTCTGACAAATGAACAGTGCACTTTACCCCTTAGTTGAAAACACTACTAATAATACTGTGTGCTACAGACATCTTGATCTCATGCATGCTCCAGTTTCCTAGTGATTTTTGCTAAAATAAAGTTGAATAAAGTACTCTATTCTATTAATTAAGAAGCAAATTAGAAAAACTGTAATCAGTTTGAAACTTTATAACGTGAAAAGATTGACCACTGTAAATATACTAATTTGACATTTTTGTAAATAAAGATCTCTGTTTCAATTTAATTTATACATTAAATAAGTGTCTAAACAAGTCTAGTTAATCCCTCAATTAGCCATTGAATGGAGGTCCCAGTCACGAATAAGGACCCTACTTCCCTTCATATCACGAATCATGTATCTAACATCCATTATTGCAGAAAATTATCTCCAGGATTACGATCAGTTAGTGTCAGCTCTCGTCCGGTTTCAGTTCATGTTTTTTCTGAGCGTTGACAAGATTGCGGGTAAAGCTTTAAAACAATCTTAGAAACGCATCAGCCCAGCCTGAGAAAATGCGTTCAAGATCATTCTTTGGCATGTTACAACGTGGGTCACTATATGAATAGATATATTAGCAGCTAAATTCGATTCGGTTTTTTCACGAATACCACGAATCAGGGACCTCAAAATTAAGTGATAGTGCGTCATGCTAGACCGGAAATTCACGGATCACAGCATTTCGAGCTCTCTATATGAAAGACAAACGGACTTAGAGACACAGGACAAGATCGCAAAACCAGCCCAGATCGCTTCAAAAACAAAAAAAAAAGCCAAACAAACAAACACAGTAGGACACAAACTATAGCACAAGTAAGTAAGTATCGGTAAGTAAGTGAGTAAGTAAGTAAGTGACGAATCGAGTGGATGTAATAGTAAATAAAGCAAAACCGGGTGGGCCTACTAAAGCGTACAGTTGGTAGCAAGAACAGAGAAATTTTCTCCATGCTCTGTGAGTCCTTGGTAATATCGGTCCTATCCGGCGGGCAAGGCGAAACGAAAAGAGACTTCGTAAGAGAAAATGTATTTGAGAACTGCTAAAATTGGGCCTGATCTCAGGTTGTAATCAGCCTTGCTTCTTTTGCTCTTCTTTTTAATCGAGGTGCACAGAGGCTAAACACTTTGTCATGCATGAATGTTTTTCCTTTGGGTTTCACTTTGCATAAATTTTTGGGGGGACATTTTCTCTTGCTCGAATTTTTGTTTTTGGTTTTTCGCTACCCCAACCACCACTTAACTTGTCAGATAGGACACAAAGCGTTGTAGTGAATGGATCAACATCTAATCCCCAATCCTTTTCGGTCCCTTGTTATTTATAATCTACATCAACGATGTACCCTCGGTGGTAAAGGATTGTAAAATCCAATTGTATGCGGATGATACCCTCCTATACGTTAGCAGTAGTTCCATCACCGACATAGAATCTATGCCATCCGAAGATCTTAAGCATATAATAGAGTGGCTTAATAATAACTTCCTCTACCTTAACTATAGCGAAACTAAGGTAATGTTGACTGGTACACATCAGACGCTTGCCCTAGTTAATAGTTTCACAGTCAGAGCAGGGGACACTGTCCCGTCACGAGTCTATCTTAAGTATCTCGGCGTTATGCTCGATCCATACCTCTCGTGGAATGACCACATAGACTACATCGGGCGCAAAATATCGGCAAAGCTCGGCATGCCTTCGTAAAGCGCCCAAGGTCATTCCGCGAGAGTCGTGTTTAACACTTAATAACGCCGTGAAACTTCCAGTATTCGACTATTGCGCTGTTGTATGGTACTCCTGCAGTAAGGCTGACCGAGAGTACTTGGATAAGCAACATAGGCGTGCCGCCAGTATTATCGAAGGCTACACAGTTTCACAATCGCAGACATCTCACACTTTCGGTTGGCCTACGCTCCAGTCTCACCGGGACTATCAAAAGTGCATGCTAGTGTTTAAGAGCCTTCGTGGCCTTGCTCCAGCATATTAACTTAATGAATTTAGCCACTCGCGCGATTTCCATTCCTATAACACGCGCTATAAAGATTTGCTCCGTCTGCCGCTAGCTCATCCTCGGAGACCCAGGGGCAGATATTGGGGGCAAGGGAAAGTCTAAAGGGGCTGAAAAATAAGGCCGTTCTTTACTTTTCTTTTGCGCCATATTTTTCCTAGCCTGCGAAAACATCCGGCGAAGAGCGAGGAGAAACGGATGTTTTCGCAGGCTATATTTTTCCGCCAGTTTAGACTTTCCCTCGCCCCCACTATCTGCCCCTGGGTCTCCGAGGATGCCGCTAGCTAGGACTTCTTGTACCAGGGCTCCTTTAGGGTCTCCTGGAACCAAGATCTGGAACACTTTTCCTCTGGCCCTGAGGAGCCAGCATGATTTACATAAATAAGTTTAAGTTTGGCCTCAAAAGGCACTTTAGATTCAAGCCAAATTGAGCCTCCAATACTTTTGCTTCACTTTGTGATTCCATTTTTTATCTGTTAGTGTTACTGTCTTTTGTATTTGTTTTTCTTTTCACCAGGGCCCCATTCAAACCAGCCTCGTTGAACTGGGCCCCCCTGAATAGATATTGTTCAAAATAAAATAAAATAAAATAAAAACCATCACTTTTCTTATTATATAGTCCGTTCCCGTTGTTCCTTCTGGTCGTCACGCTTCCGCTTCCGGCGTCACGCTATAAAGACTCTAGGCCCTGGGAACGAGGGGATCAGGAATGAACTGGAAGTTAAACTGGAAGTTTGCCAAGATTTCATTGCATTCCGTGAGAACAGTCGCCATATTAAGACGAAATTCATCAACGTTTTCTTCCTCAGATCAGCAGCCTTAGGTAAGAGTTGTATATTACATATAGAATGCTTCACAGAAAGTGCCTAGTTATAGTATTTCATACGACCGAGTTGCTTGGTTGAAGTATGAAAAATCTCACTTCCTGCGTGCTCTCGCTATCTACAGTACTCGTTCCATCACAGGCGGCCCAGACGTAGTATGTGTCACTGAATGAATATATTTATATTCACATGGACAAATTAACGCGATGAGTCGTCGAAACTCCCATGGACTAAAATAGTCTAAACGTCAAAATATAACAAAACAAAGCTAAAATACCTTCAACTGAACGTATCCTTGTCTTTCCTGGCCGGTTTAAGTGGCATTTTATTGAGTTTTGCAATTGTAGGTACTATCCGCTAAAGAAGAATTAAAGGCTGGCTACAAAACAAACAGATCATCTCCACGCGCCTTCACACGA